TGCTTTGCACATTCTACTTTTAAGTATCTCTAACAATGGGGCTTGCAAAGATTTCTTTGGAAGACTGCACTCTCAGAATTTTTTTTTTTTTTTTAATTCATAAGCAGCTTTTCTTTCCCTTTTAATTTTTTTCCCTTTTTACTCAGTTACACATCTCGCACCACTTTTCCCTACCTATGCTTTCTGTTCTCTGAATACTCGCTATCCGTCAGCTATTTATTATGTTTTCTTACTCAGTAGGTTTTATAACATGTTAACAATTATACAAAGCCTGGATTACCCTGTAATTCTCAAGCTTGTTAGCTGCAGGCATTGGCTTTGCTCACTAAATGTCTCAAGAATTTGGCACAGCTAATACTAACTGTCCAGGGAAAGTCTAGCAGGAGACATTTGATAAAGAAAACTGAACACAACTCAGAGCCAGACAGGAGGACAAGAGGTAATAGTGGAATTGCAAAACAGAGTACAAGATTATCGTTTTACTCTACCATAAATATGGGTGCAAATTAGGTTTCAGAGGCAATAAAAAATGAAAAATAGAGGTATTGATCCTTTTTTCTACCCACTCCTGAGCACGCCCTGATAGAGCACTGAACAAAAATTCAGTTAAATAATTATGAAATAGAGAACTCCAGGAGTCAAAAGAGGTAGGTAGAGCAGAGAGGAAAAGCTCCCTCTGGAACATACCTGGGGTTCTAGCCTCCAGAGTGCTCACAAAATCCCACATAGCCAGAGAACACCCACAGTTGGTTGGCTTTTTTTTAAGTAATTCTTCTGCTAATGCACCTTGTACAAAATACATGCCATCGAGCTTCAGAGAAAGATTATGTCATGCAATGAGCAGTAAAGTCAGTTCAATACCTTTGATTCATGTGGTACTCAAACAGTTTCACAATGACTGAACATCTGGCCAAAAGACTAAATTAAACTTTGCTAAAGGGACATGCAAATATAGGTTTGCAATGAAAGGAAAAGAAAAATGTGGAGAAATGTAGAAGTTATGTGGAGAAATATGGGAGAAAGTAAATGCTTTGATAGGGCTTAATCTATATTTACTGCCCCCAATAGCACTTAACAGTTAAGTAATAACAGCAGAGTAAATAGGTCAAATGAGAGTAAGGCTAACAAAGTAAGTAAGTTGAACAAAACTGCAGGATCAGGCCCTTAAGTTTAGGCAGTCAAACACATGTCCAAAAAATAACTCCACTTACAGTGGTTAAATTGCAGTCATTCCCCAAGAGAAGACAGCTCATAAATAAAAACAGAGCTTTGTAGAAGCAACTGCTAAGAGATGCCTACAAAGATATTTGCTCAAGTCTTGGAAGAATGAAATTTTTACACAGGGAGAAGGGTATTTCAATTAATACCATCCCACACTTCTCAACATCTTCTCTTCAAATATGTCCAAGCAAAGCCTGGAATAATTCTTCAGTAGAGAGACTGGACTCGGAATCCTGTGAGGAATAACCTCATCAATTTTGTGACACAGTCTGCTGAGATTTTCTTTTTGCCTTTTTAATTTTACTATATTATTTTGGACCATACTAAATGATTTCAGCTACACTGTGTCCCTGTAGATGTGATCATTAGGGATATGGTTTAGTGGTGGACTTGCCAGTGCTAGGTTAATGATTGGACTTGATGATTTAAACAGTTCTATGATCCTAAAGAGATATCTTCCTTCAAAAACAAGCAGAAACAATATTTGATTTTGAGTTTATGAAGAAATAGTTATGAAAACTAGCATTTAAAGAAGAAGATTTTGGAAAGAGGCAGGTTATGCATTAGAATTCCTTAAAATTGACTCTGTAGGACTATGTCTGAAATAATCTGAACAGTTTAGCAGTAATCCCACTAAACACCATTCAAATGCCATTCAGGGATAAATACTAGGTCTACCTAGGACTAACTAACTAGATTTCACTATAAATCTTGAAGCGCTTCAGTATTGTCTCTCCAGATGAGTCAATATTGACAATGCTGATGGCCAAAAACCACAGGATAGTCACTGCCAATGGGTGACAGCAAGTTCTAAACTGTCGCATTTCCACTTACAAAAATGTGAGAGATGGACACAGAAAACTGTATATGAAGAATAAGAAAGAGATGAACGTAGTCCTCTGAAATCAAATAAAATGACCAGGACAGGAAACACTATAAAGCTTTTCCCCATTTGAAGCAGAAACCCAGCTGGGTATATTATACGTGCAAGAAATAAGGGCATGAGCAAAATTTTGACAAGTGGATTGATTGAATAAGATTGGATTTCCACAAAGCATTCAGAACAGATGAGGTTTTGGATGAGCTTGCAGTACAGCCTGGTCTTTAAAAGCCCTGTCTGAATGCCAAACTGGGATGATCACCCACTGAAAAACAACTTTCCAGGATATGGTAACTAAAGACACCAAGAACAAAATCTTTTCAAAAAGATTTTCATTAATTTAGCCATAAAAAAATATTAATAATCCAGGATTTACATGTTTCTTTCTTCACTAGCTTAAAAAAATTAAATTCCTCCCTATAAAAACATCATATAGCTAGAGGCTGACAGAGATTAGCTTATTCTTCTTCAAAGTCATTAAATAAATAATTAACCAACAATAGCTGTTAAGTTACCTTGACAACAAATAATTATTAATATGAGATTGCCCAAGGGAGAATGAACCAGGGATTTCCAAACTGGGGTGTTAATCAAACTACTTCAAAGCAACTCGGTGCTGGCAGGCGGTCGCTGCCTCTGGTGGATTCATGCAGCCTGACATGGAGCTGGGAGCTACTGCAGCCTCTGGCAACAGGGGTAATTTAGTGATGTACTTCGGTGTAGCAAAAGGTCAAAACTATTTTTTAAGCAAGAAAAAGGAAACAGAAGATTGGAAGTACCTGAATTGCAGGACCATTAATAACATGTCAGTCATACTTGGAAATTAATATGAGCTGTATGCCCACAAGGTGTTACGTAAGACATTTTGGGCACAGCCTATGAAAGAAATGCAGCTACTGAATGCTTCGGATAAGTGTACATGCTAAAAGCGTCCTATATTCAATCTGCAGAAACTTAAAAATAACATGAGAAATACTGGAGGCAGCTAATCTGAGAGATCGCACACATGCCCTTCACCTTGCATGATATTTCGTTCTAGTGTGGCCCTTTCCTGTTTCTAGTTCTAGTTTCTTGTTTATAGTTCACAGAGAAGGAACAAATGGGCAAAGCATGACATTACTGTTCCATTCCCCCAAAGGCAGTTTCTAAGGTGGTATATTATTTCAGGAACATAGAAACTGAGAATGTTTTACTTCTCAAACCACACATTTGGCAATCAGCA